TTTTAAAATGATATAATTTTTTTTTGTTTTAGTATTTTGAAGTTGACCAATTGTTACTATAAGCAATTAATGATTATCTGCACCATATGAAAAAGAAAATGAGACAAATTTTTTTTTTTAGATTAATAGACTCCCTTTTTAAAGCCAAATTGAATGGTAGCGAGTTTTTAAAAATCCAATGTGTTGATCACATAATATTTCAAAAAATTTAACTTATGAGTATAGATGATCCGCACTGTAGCAATTATCACTCAATTAACATTAACAATAAACGTGATAAAGATGAAAAGACATACCTTTATGAGTCTAACGAGAGGATTAAAACCAAATAATCATCATCAACGTCTAACATTAACGATAAACGTGATAGAGATGAAAAGACAAACCTTTATGAGTCTAACGAGAGGATTAAAACCAAATCAAGTTTTTTTTTAAAAAATTAAGTTTAATATTAATAATTATGCATTAAAATCTATAATGGTCCTGGAAGTTATATATACCTGTACGTGTAATTTCACATATACCAAGAGTATGTAACAAAAAAGTTTTTTTAAGAATCATTCAAAATTTTAAAGTACTTTTTTGGTTTTTATAATAGATTAATTCATCTGATCTTTAATAACAATAAAAGACAAATAAAGCTCATCTATTATATTTTATTCGCTTTCTTTGAATAAAAAATTATTATTAATATTTGTTGATAGATTTCTTGTTCAATGTTCATATTTAGTAAATAAATATCCTCAAGCTGATATAAGGAATATGAAAATACCATTTACAGATGAAAGAAAAATCAATTTTCAATTTATAACGATGAAAGGTATATTGAAAAAGTAAACAATTAAAAAATAAAATAAAATAATTCATTTAAAAAAGCAAATTGTTCTTTATAAACCAACCTTTCCATTCTTAATACTTTAACCAGTATGATTAAATGTTCCCATAGACGCTCGTGCTTTCCTTGATTCTTTAACATCATCAGAAATAATGTTGTCAATATCCATTGATTTCAATTCTGCTTCTAGATCACGATGATTTTTTACTATCTTACATTTTTCGTTTGTTGGTCGTCCTTTAAAAAAATATATATACATATATATATCTTAGTGTATGGGATAGGCTTATTTTTTTAAAAAAATTTAAATAACTCACCCTCCACCCCTAATTCCACGAGAATTTTTTTTAATTTCTTAATTTGACTTTTTGTATCATCACATCCTGCCAATTCTTTGGACCTGAAGATTATATTGAATTAATATTATATATTTATATTGAGGTTTTTAATTGGTTAAGAAGAAGTATTAAATAACTTTACCAGATTTTACGAACTCCACATTTTACAATAAAGGATTTCAAATTTTTAATTGTTATTTCTTCTTTATTGTTGTTTGACTAAGAAAAAAAAAAGTAAATTTCATATATTAATTATATTATAATCTTTATTGTTAATTATTTTACTCACTGATTTGTCATTATTTTTTCGAGGCTTTTTTTTCGTTGATGGTTTAGGATTGTCTTCAAGTTTATCACCATCATTCTTTTTCTTTGGAGTAGATGATTTAGTTTGTCCAGATCTTTTCTTTTTTAATGGTATAGGATCATCTTCGACTTCACTAAGTTCATCGCTATCGTCATTCTTTTTATTTGGAATAGATGATTCAGTTTGTCCAGATCCTTCCTTTATTGATGATTTAGGGTTGTCTTCAAATTCACCAAGTTCGTCACTATCAATAATATCTTCTTCATTTTTTTTCTTTGGAGTAGATGATTTAGTTTGTCCAGATCTTTTCTTTTTTAATGGTATAGGATCGTCTTCGACTTCACTAAGTTCATCACTATCGTCATTCTTTTTATTCGGAGTAGATGATTCAGTTTGTCCAGATCCTTCCATCATTGATGATTTAGGGTCGTCTTCAAATTCGCCGAGCTCATCACTATCAATAATATCTTCGTCATTTTTTTTCTTTGGAGTAAATGATTTAGTTTGTCCAGATCTTTTCTTTTTTAATGGTAAAGGATCGTCTTCGACTTCACTAAGTTCATCACTATTAATGATATCTTCATCATTCTTTTTCTTAGTAGGAGATGATTTAGTTTGTTTAGGTCTTTTTTTTGATGATGGTTTAGTGTTGTCTTCAAGTTCACCACCATCAATAATATCTTTGTCATGCTTTTTCTTTGGGGTAGATGATTTGGTTTGTCTGGATCTTTTTTTTGCTGGTGGTTTAGAGTCATCTTCAAGTTCACCAAGTTCATCACTATTAATGATATCTTCTTCATTCTTTTTTTTAGTAGGAGATGATTTAATTTGTTTAGGTCTCTTTTTTGTTGATGGTTTAAGATCGTCTTCAAGTTCACCACCATCAATAATATCTTCGTCATTCTTTTTCTTCGGAGTAGATGATTTAGTTTGTCTGGATCTTTTTTTTGCTGGCGGTTTAGAGTCATCTTCAAGTTCACCAAGTTCATCACTATCAATAATATCCTCATCGTTCTTTTTTTTTGCAGATGATTTAGTTTGTTTAGGTCTCTTTTTTGTACCAAGTTCATCACTATCAACTTTATTTTTATTTGGAGTAGATGATTTGGTTTGTCTAGATCTTTTTTTCGCTGGTAGTTTAGAGTCATCTTCAAGTTCGCCGTTATCATCTTTCTTTTTATTTAAAGTGGATGATTTAGGTTGTCTAGATCTTTTCTTTTTTAATGGTTCGAGTTCGAGTTCACTAAGATCATCTTCCATTTTATTTGGAGCAGATGATTGGGTTGGTAGTTTAGGCTCGTGTTCAAGTTCACTAATCTCATCATCATCAACTTCTTCATCTTCCTTTTTCTCTGTAAGAAATGATTCTTCTGGATCAATATTTTCATCCCTATTCTTTTGATCAGATATTTTCGATTCACTAATTTCTGTTTCTTTGCAATTATAAAATATTTTACCATAAATACATTTTTACTTTTTGAGAATTTTATTATAATTTGGTTTATACAATAAAGATTGCTTTTCATTTGGAAAAAAAAATTATTTATTTTAATACCTTCAACGGTAAAGTTTGGCTCCTTCTCCTCTTGTTCTGAATCAGAACACACGAGTTGTAATTTTTTCCTTTTAGGTATTATTATTACCTTTTCTCTTTCTTCTTTTTCTACCGACGCTTCACTCTCCTCATTCTCATAATGTTTTTCCATTTCAACGTTGTTATCGATGCTATTTGTAGAATTTTACAGGATTTTTTTTTAGGAAATTTTGAAATGTTACATTAATTTTTTATATTGTGCAACGTAACTTTACAATACACGGCAAACATTCTGGCAATAAAAAGTAAAGTGATAAACTGGATTTGAATTGGATCTGAACTTTGATCTCTAATTTAGAGAGGCAACAACTACATCCTGGTGAAGTTTTAGGAGCAATGGGTTCTGTATAATATTTTGTTTAACAACAAATTTCCAATATGCTGAGGCCAATAAGCCCGTTTATAAACGGATCATGTCTCTCTCTCTTCATAAATGTTCGTGTGCAAAAAAAATGTTTCGTGTGTTACGGGCAGCAGCATTAACATCTCGATTCCAAATGTGTCGGACAGGCTGGCAGACCAGAATTTTTTGATGCTTATCAAACCACCAATCACACAAAGAACAAATCGAGAAAGTACGAACGGGACTCGTCAACATTCACCGCCACCTTGCAGTGCCCAGAAAGCTCTCGGCGAAATTTTTTTACAGGGCCCTACGTAATAAATTTCTGAAAAAAAAAACGTTGGATATCCATCTTGTTATTTAAAAGTATTGGTGAATATGTGTGTATTGACAATGTTATACATTATTGGTAAAGGGAGTCGAAATTGGAAAGCCATTTTAAGAGTAACATGTGAAGCAAGCGATAAATTTAAAATACAGTTTTGAATACAAATAAATTTGTGTAGTTGTGTGATTTTTTTATTTTCTTTATCATGACATTAGAAAATATTATTCCTACGCCGAACTAAGATGCTGATTCGAGAAAGAAACCAATAAATAATCTGATAAAAAGTGTTAGTTCACAGTAATACAAATCACAACATTTAAAATTCTTAATAAATTAATTATAAAGATCGACTATAATAGCCATCACAATACTTGTATAAAGTTCCTATTTAGGGAAAAAACCCGTAAAATTTAGTTTTAGCAAAAATCCAATAGTGAATATATTATGTCTTTGTAATAACCTACACCTCTCTCTCGTTCTTGTTGCTCTCCCCTCTTCCCTCTTTTTCTCAAGTAATCCTAATAAAGTGCTTTTCTGCTCCTTGGTCATTTTATCACACAATGTTCTTTCCTCTTGGGCTAAAGAAGCCAATATTTTTTGTTCTTTTAATTCACGTTTTTTTTTTACTTGGGCCAAATCATTTTGTTGAGCTAATTCACTTTCATTTTGTCGAGCTGATTTATTTCGTTGAGCTGAAGCTGATGTGCTTTTGTTCAGTTGAAATACTTGTTGAAGTAACTCATTTTGCGAGTTGCCTAATTCTAAATCTTGAATCAAAGTACTTGTTGTTAGTAGAATTGATTAATTGATTAGATAGATGCATTTCACTATACAACCCTAACTTTCAACATGTCTTTTTAAAAAGTTGTTATCTATTGCACTGATACTAATACTAATACTAATATTGAGTACTTGATCATATTAACGCAATGACAAAAATGTGTCCCCGCGGTGTGATTGAGTTTCCTTATTTGGATTTAAATTTAATTCTCTATTATTACATTTTTACATTTTCTATTAATGGTGAGAGGCAGTCACTTTTTTTTTAAAGTACTTTCGGATCATAGTCTTGGCGTCCACATTCAATAGAGTTTTCCAACCCCTGTTCTAGAAAGAAGGGAACACCAAAAAAAGAAAAAGATTGAGGGTGTTGTATGTCGAGTTTTACATTTCATAGACATGTTTTTTTACAATTCTAGCCAAAAAAAAAAAAAAAAACATTGAACCTTGACTATTGATTGCTCTTTAATCTCTTGTACCTATTCCCCGACTAGATCATACTTTTTTTCTTGTTTTCAATTTATCTTTAACAGACCTTTTCTAATCCTTAGGTTTCTGTATAGCAAATAACGATGAAATCTATTTTGAATTTGATTCATATTTGAGAATTTATGAAATCTATCGACTGACTGGTCAGACGCTGCTTTATTGATCCTTTGCAGAAAGAATTCAATAAATTCACAAAAATACCGTGCGAGTAAAAGTTTTGCGGGATGGATAAAGGAAGCATTAACTTTCATCGCATTTATTCCAAAGTGTTGGAGGAGCTGAAGGTAAATTGAATAAATGGCAGATTACAATCAAAATGGTTAAAATTAGAAACATAAAAGGAGTCGGATTATTTAAGATTCAGAAGATCTTTATAAATTTCAGTGACTGTGTTTTCATCTTTGTGTTCTCTAGCTATAACAAAAATGCCCGGAAGGGTATAGAAGAATTCAAATACAAAATCTTAATATTATAAAGGGACGATACGAAGAAATACATATCAGCGGATTCCAACACTTTCCCAAATTTATACTTGAAAAAAATATAGAAGATTGGTCATTGCAACCTTTTTCAAAGAAAAGTTTAGCGGGTTATATAATAAGCAAAAGTTTCATGTCTTTTATAGTATTTAAAATAAATAATATTAAATACCATATAGATATGGTTTATTATAATAAATTTTTCTTTTATGTTTATTCCTAATAATGATTAAATAATGATGCCAGGAAAAGGAGAAATAAGAATAAATACAAGTAATTTTTTGTATATGTTTTATATAAATAAATTAAAAAAGAATAAAACAATCAATAATAATCAAAAATAGATATGATAATTATAAAAATCGTTACTTTTAATAATTTTGCTTTTTATTTCAATTTAGTTTATGAATAATAAAAACAATAATATAATATTAACAATTATTAGTAAAAATATAATTAAAATATACGCATAATATAAAGTGTTTATATAAAAAAGACAATTGTTAATGCTGCTGTTAGAGATTCTGTCAACGAACAATTCTACATCTGGACCAACATTAAATTTATCTGTCAGGATAATATTGTGACCAGATGCTTTGGCTTCTTTTTTTGCTTCAAAAGTAAAATTATTTTTAGACGGTGCTATTATAACACCAATAGTAGAAAGTCGATTATATTTAGCTAGAACATTTTCCCAATCACGTACATCATCCGCCCCTTATAATAAAAAATTTAATTATAACAACAAAGATGAAAAAAATATAGTAAAAATAATTTATAATAATTTACCAATGCTTGCTTTGTTTTTGCATTGTATTAAAACAGTGTTTCTCCTGATCCCTCCGATAAAATCTATAGCACCACCGCTATAAATTGTAAAATAATAATAATAATAATAAATAGTGAGCACTTGTGTCATCATTGTCAAGAAACGCTATCCCGGAACCTAGCCAACAATCAATAGCATTCACAACAGGCCATCCACCGTATATTGTAATTGGACTTGGTTATCCAACTGGTAACTTTCACAAGATGTGGCCAAAAAGTTTAGCGGGTTATATAATAAGCAAAAGTTTCATGTCTTTTATAGTATTTAAAATAAATAATATTAAATACCATATAGATATGGTTTATTATAATAAATTTTTCTTTTATGTTTATTCCTAATAATGATTAAATAATGATGCCAGGAAAAGGAGAAATAAGAATAAATACAAGTAATTTTTTGTATATGTTTTATATAAATAAATTAAAAAAGAATAAAACAATCAATAATAATCAAAAATAGATATGATAATTATAAAAATCGTTACTTTTAATAATTTTGCTTTTTATTTCAATTTAGTTTATGAATAATAAAAACAATAATATAATATTAACAATTATTAGTAAAAATATAATTAAAATATACGCATAATATAAAGTGTTTATATAAAAAAGACAATTGTTAATGCTGCTGTTAGAGATTCTGTCAACGAACAATTCTACATCTGGACCAACATTAAATTTATCTGTCAGGATAATATTGTGACCAGATGCTTTGGCTTCTTTTTTTGCTTCAAAAGTAAAATTATTTTTAGACGGTGCTATTATAACACCAATAGTAGAAAGTCGATTATATTTAGCTAGAACATTTTCCCAATCACGTACATCATCCGCCCCTTATAATAAAAAATTTAATTATAACAACAAAGATGAAAAAAATATAGTAAAAATAATTTATAATAATTTACCAATGCTTGCTTTGTTTTTGCATTGTATTAAAACAGTGTTTCTCCTGATCCCTCCGATAAAATCTATAGCACCACCGCTATAAATTGTAAAATAATAATAATAATAATAAATAGTGAGCACTTGTGTCATCATTGTCAAGAAACGCTATCCCGGAACCTAGCCAACAATCAATAGCATTCACAACAGGCCATCCACCGTATATTGTAATTGGACTTGGTTATCCAACTGGTAACTTTCACAAGATGTGGCCATGAAGTGCTTCCAGTTCTCTATTTTTAATCCTAGTGGCAGCGTAACTTCAGATACATTACAATTCAACAAAGGAAAATACTCACATTAATTCATAACGATCAATGCCCGTTTTATTCAACGCATCATCAATTTCTAATTTAAAAGTGTTTTCATTAGCATTGGACATTATTAATATTTCAACAATTTAATTTTTAAGATTTGATGAGAAAAAGGTTGGGTTGCAGATCGTTCTAATTTATCATGCAAGTACAGCAGGTGCTTTACCAAGTTTGGAAAAACCGATAATTGAATATCATCCTCCTTTTTTTAATGGATTAGAATTTTCAAAAATACCAAATCGCGTTACAAGTACAAGGAAGCCAACACCGGTTTCATAATACTAGCTGGTATAAAGATATCAAAATATAGTTAATGGTGATTGTCTAAAAAGATGCATTTGTCAAGATAATGGAATTTCCCTACTTGAAGTATGGTGGTTATTCTGGAAAGAATACAAAAATTAAGAATTTCGTTAATCAAACATTTAAAATTTTCAACCTATAATATCCTCTTGCGTAGTGAGAATTCTTTGCATCTAAACAGTTTTCGGTTTGCTGGTAACGACGCATAATTATTTCAGATAAATGCGGAATGCTAACCTAATTAATTTTTCTATCCGGCAAATTTGCCAATAATAAATTATTTCTTATGATTCAAGTCTCACAGGTAATCACGTGTGATTATAATTTAAAAGTCATAAAAGTTCATTTTTTTATTTTGTAAAGTATGGCTCATTGGATAGCAAACAAAATTCGAGGTAACTTGCCCCATAGACACCCTAAACTGCCAGATTTTCATTTAGAAGATGAATGGTAAGTGTGACTTACGCATGTTTCTTTAAGAGCTATTCATTGTTAACTTGTACTGTATTCAGCTTGCCATTTCAGATCGGGAAGAGCATTTCGGGTTAAAGAGTATAACGATTTTCTTGATAGTAACGAATCGTCAGGATGTAAATCTTACTTTGATAAAAAAAGCGTCTATATTATTGAAATGGCGTACGCATTACATGAAGATGTTATATTATTTCTTTAAGATTGCTTTAAAGAATCGAATAATAGAGTTAAATTTGGGCCGATAATAGTTTTTGGTCAACCTTGTAAGAGATTTTCATTTAATTTTATTTTTCTGGGGTTTGTAATAAAAATACAAATTTTTTCCAATAGACCATTACAATCCGATCGGAATTGGAGAAAAAATAGCCCCAGACATTGTAGTTAGTCCGAGGGAAAGTCTTGTACAACGAGAAAATCCATATCCTGGTTTTCCCCGTGGTGACTGCAAAGTACTTTAATATTTCATTATAATAATACTTATTTTTAAGACAATTTCTAATAATACTAAAATTTACACAGGGAAATTCGTATGCAAGAGTAATTTGCGAAGTTGCTAATAATCAAAAAATTGGCTTATGGAACATAAGATGTGAAACGTGGATGCAGGAGGAACACGTCCGCTGTGTATTTGGAGTTAAACTTTATCCTAAAATAAATAAAAGAATTGTTCATCAGCCAATAGTAGTATGTACCATACGTTTAACATCTATTCATTATTCGATTAGTTTCAAATTTATGATTTTTTTTTCTATATTAGGCAAGATTGTGGGCACGTCGAGCACTACCAGATGGTGTATTATCCTCAAATGCAACCTTAGCAGGAAATGGAATATATGTCAAAGAGGTAATAATATTAATTTAGTGTTGTATTTTTATAATCAGACATCTGAATTAAAATAATTTTTGCAAAGGATAGTGGGAATGCGGAACAATATATCATTATATACATACACCAATTAGTTGTAATGCTCCGAATATTAATGCATTTCAAGTAAATATTCGTCTTTTGGGATCCCCCAATTTTGGGCAAAGCTCCAAATGTTGAAGACTATACTGCAGTGTTACCCGATAGTGTTGTTGGCGAAAATTTTGTTATTGACTTATATCACATACAACAAATAGCTTAATGTAAATTAAGGTAAATTCATTATGATTTGATGTATTAAGGGAATAAATTATTTTTACTATATAGTTAATCTAAATTTTAATTGCTTTTAAAGAAAACGATGGATCTGTAGCAATTTCGATTCGGTTAAAAACAACTTGCAAAGATTTATTATATCATTTTATTAATATATTTTTTTCTTCATTCATCAATTGCAAATAAAATATATTTTCTGGATTATTTTACATTACATTGATCGACAAGCATTATTAGATCTATAATACTAACAAGTTTAGACCTTTTTTGCAAAACAATACAATATGTTTGAAATCAAATGCCAGTAAAACTTGCAGTATAACTATTAAAAGCAATATGAAAAGTACTCAATATCGAATGCGGTTGAGGGTGTGCATGTGTCACATTCATCACATTCAATAATCCGGTTAATCCTGGTGACTGAAGTGCAGACGTTTGGAATGCCTGGTTGATTCATTGCCCTTTAGCAAATAAAAAGGAAGGATTGAGCTAAGTTGGTGCTAAAGAATATGAAAATCATGAAATCAGCCTTCATTCATACCATGGTATGCTCATATTTATCTGACCAACCCATGCTCCAATGGCAGTGCCATTTTGGAATATAAATACAACATTATTATGGTTTCTTGCACCATTTGCCATAAGATTTGTGATAATTTCACCCTTGTTTTGGCCTGCAATGCCATTTCGAGAACTCGGAGAAGTGGGAACATCGTTGAAATCTGCCTGATTCCATTCAATATGAGGGCGGGCATATTTTTGTCTTTTTTTAGAGCTTTGAGGACCAAGGTAGCTGTTTTACGATTTTGAAGGACAAGGGGGAGATTTTCAGGTGCTAAACACAAGAATATCAATCAATATATATGAACATAAACATGCATGGAAATAATTTAACTGCTAATTTTTACATACTTGTCTTGCTTTTTTTTGCAAGTTTTTTAATGTCTT